CTCCTCCTCCTCCTCCTAGATCCACCCCAGGCTCAAGGCCACACACAACCTCTCCCATTCCTCATCTGCCTCCACTCCCTCCTCCTCCTTCTCCTTCCTCCCGCTCCCCCTCAGCTATCTCTCGAGCCCCATTCACCCCCTCCCAAACCAATCACCACTCCGCTGCCTCTGAACCCGCCTCATTCCCTTGTTCTGTGTCTGCCTCGTTCGCCCTCCTCTGTGTGCTCCGCATGCTCTTCCTCCTCCTCCTCCATCTCCATCTCCTGCGCTGCGACTCCATCTCTCTCCTGAGTTGCTGCAGGCGATTCTCGAGAATGCACCGTAGGTGCTGGAGATTCTTTATGATACCCTCTTGTTGCAGGCGTTTCCTTGAAAAGCTCTGATGCTGCAGCCGTCTCTTGGGATTTATCAACAGACATCTCCTGCACGTCAGCTCCATGTGTCTCCTGGGTCGTGGCATACGCCTCTGTCCACTGCACGTCCTTTTCCTCCTGTGTCAGCAATTCCGCCTCCTCTTCCCCGAGCGCCACACGCTCTGACTTTTGAGTCAACTCAGAATGCATCTTCTCAACAGACCGCTCCTGCTCTTCACCTCCATGTGCCTCCTGCTCTTCACCTCCATCTGTCTCCTGGCTGTCATACGCCTCTGTCCACTGCACGTCCTCCTCCTGTGCCCTCTGCAGTTCCGCCTCCTCTGGCACTAGCACCACCCCCTCTGCGTCCTGCGTCTCCTCATCAGCAGCAGCAGCAGCAGCAGCAGTAGCAGTAGCAGTAGTAGCAGTAGCAGTAGCAGCAGTAGCAGTAGTAGTAGCAGCAGTAGCAGCAGCAATAGCAGTTGTAATAGCAGCAGCAGTAGTAGCAGCAGTAGCAGAAGCAGCAGTAGAAGCAGTAAAAGCAGCAGCACTAGCAGCAGTGGCAGCAGCGGCAGTAGCAGCATCAGCCCCTGCGGCCACAGCAGCAGCAACAGCAGCAGCAGGAACATCCCCGTCCCTTTCTTCCTGCGTTTCATAGCCACCTGCACCGGCACCACCAGCACTCTCGCCCTCGCCACCACCAACGCCATCCCCGGCGTTGGCGCGGGAGCCACCAGAAAAGAGGCTCTTGGCAAAGCGAGTGGAAGTGCCATACACTGAACTCATAACCCCCCCCCCTCTCCGCCCTCCTCGTCTCCTCCACCTCCTCCTGCCCACGTTCTTTTGCTGTCGTATTTCCCACCTCCTCCTCTCCCTCCACCTCCTCCTCTCCCTCCACCTCCTCCTCTCCCTCCACCTCCGCCTCTCCCTCCACCTCCTCCTCTCCCTCCACCTCCTCCTCTCTCTCCACCTCCTTTCCTCCCACCGCCTCCCTTTCTCCCTCCACCTCACCTACGTTGCCTGCATGCCCATCCAGAGCCATGGGGCCATCCGCAGAAGGAGCTTCAGACACATCCGCCGCAAGGGCAGCAGCAACACAATCACGCGCGTCCATGTGTGTCACAGCCCTTGTCGGCTGCGTGTCAATCAACTTCTGAGATGTCTCGAAAGCCATAGGCACATCGGCTAAGGGAGCTGCTGGCACATCCGCAAGGGCAGCAGCAGACTCATCCGCGTCCACATGCATCACATCCCTTGTCTGCTGGGTCTCAAACGAGCCCTCCTCCGCCCCATCCCCAGGCAGCCACGCCTCGAATGTCGGCTTCACACCCGCTTCTGCCATCTCCACATCATCCCCTCCCCCCTGCCCATCCGCCACATCATCCCCTCCCTCCTGCCCATCCTCCACATCATCCCCTCCCTTGCCATCCCTACTCGCCTCCTCCCGTTCCTTCTCCTCCTCCATGGCCTGACTCACGGGGCTGCCTGCGTCTCCTTCCACAGGAAAGCGAGCAGAAGCCTTCAAGCCAAGGTTGCCGTACTCAGCTTGGACTGAGCGTGCAGGCTGCACATCAGCTTGTACCACGTCCCCTCCTCCTCCTCCTCCTCCTCCTCAGCGGCTTCTCTTCTCCGCCCCGTAACCTCCCCCGCCTCCTTCCTCTCCTCAGCCCCTTCTGTTCCTTCCACCTCGTTCCCCTCACCTCCCTCCTCCGTCTCCCTCCTTCCCCCTCCCTCCTCTGCCTCCTTCCCCTCGCCTCCCTCCTGCCCCTCCTTCACTCCCACAGCCAACTCCACTCCTCCTCCGTCCTCGTCTTTCCCATCCGCCGCTTCTTCCTCTCCCTCTCCTACCCCTACCCCCTCCCCCTCACCCCTCTCTGTCTCGCATCCCACCAGTCGGTCACTACCCCCTGTACCGTCTCTCCCCGACTCCATACTTGACGTGCCTCGCTCTCCAATCCACACCTCTACTGCCCCATCCACCCCCTCCCCTTCCTTCTCTCCACCCATTTGCTCCCTCGAGCTCACTTCCTCTCCACCCAAACCCACTCCAGGACACTTATCACTTAGCTCCTCTTCCCCTCGCCTGCCCTTTCTTTCCCCATCTTTCGCTCCCTTCCCTTCGCCTTCCCTCCCCACACGGCCCTCTCTAGTTCCCTCTTCACCTATCCCTCCGCCCTCATCCCCGTTATCAGCTGCTGCAATGCCATGTTTGTCTGCACCTCCCACGTTCCCGTTACTATCTGCTGCAATATTATCCTTAACCATCTTCCCCTCCTCGCCCGCAACCAGCTCAGCAGCTCTATCCTCTGCATTCCCATTAGAAGCAGCTGCATTATTGTCCTTGTCCCCCATAGAAGCAGCCGCATTATTGTCCATGTCCCCATCGCCCAGCGTGTGAGCGTGGTCAGCAGGCAAGGGGAAGAGGTCAGCTGAGTCTGGAAATTCCTGAGTCATGGGCTGAACGCTGCTGCACCTGCACACACACATGCCAGTCAGAGGCAGGACACGAGGGCGCAAGGCAGGGGGGGGGGGGCGCCGGGGTCAAGTGTTGAGAGATTAAGTTCATGCATAATCAGATGCGACGTGCAGCCCATGCAGGCGCAAGGAATGGTAGCAGGCAGTGATAGGATGCAGAAGCATGTCACCTGCACTGCCACCATTGGGTTGGAGTAGAGATGGTTCGAGGAAGAATATGGAATGTGCGGCAATGTGTGTAAGGAACGAATGATTGCGTCCAACGTGCGAGAATGAGTGCAATATGGGATGCGAGCATTGCATGCAAGGGTCACGGCATGTGAGTGCTTAGCTCACCCAAACGACCCATAGCTATCGGTGGCGAGCCAACGAGCCTCCTCTACAGGACCCTCATCCACTTGCGCCTCGTCAGCAGCAGGCTCACCGGCCACGTCAGCAACGGGCACTCCAGCCACGTCAGCACCAGGGCCTTGAGCTGCGGCAGTATCAGGAAGGCAAGAAGTATCAGCGGTAGGCTCAGGAGCAGCTGCAGCAGCAGTAGCGGCAGCTGCAGCAGCAGGAGTAGCATCACGAATATCCACAGGTGTAGCAGCAGCTGTAGCATCAGCAGCGGCATCAGGTGGAGCATCAGGTGTAGCAGCAGCTGTGGCTGTTGTAGCTGCATCGGAAACAGCAGCTGCAATCACTGAAACCCTCTCAACTGTTTCCTCTGATACCTGCACAGACCCAACAAGGAGGAAAGAAAAACTTGGTTTTCGAATAAAAACATCTTCTCAGCACACACCCCTTCACAGTTCCCAGCACACACCCCTCCCTCTGCACAGCTCCAAGCAGAGCGCACACTGCATGTGGCACACACCTGCTGGAACACATCCATGCCTCCCAGCCCCCGTGCACGCCTGTGCAGCCCACCGTCCGCATCAGCATGAGCGTTAGCTTCAGCATCAGCATTGGCATCAGCATCGGCATTGGCACCAGTGTCAACTTGGGCAGCAGCACCAAGGTGGGCCCGGGCATGGGCATCGAAGTCAGTGTGCTCGTCTTCATGGTGGTGCAGGCTGAGCAGGCGCACATCGGGCGATAGGTGGCCGTGCACATCAGGCAATAGGTGGCCGTGCACATCAGGCGATAGGTGGCCGTGCACATCAGGCGATAGGTGGCCGTGCACATCAGGCGACAGGTGCGAGATGTGAGCGTGGGTACTAATATCAGTGTCAGTATCAGTGTGAACAGTGCACGCTTCCCTTGCACCTCCTACGCCTACTGCTGCCATCCCACCCCTCTCATCCCCTTCTCCTGCTCCTCCCGGACCACTCACTTCCTCCTCACCACCTGCCGCAGCTGCACCAGACCTCCTCGTCTCCTGTCGTGTACCAGCTCCAGGTTCGGCAGCAGGCACGGGAAGAGGCACGGCAGGTGGGTAGGCGGCGAATGGCTGGATATCTGGCTTAATGTCTTGGGAAATTAGCTGTGAGAAGTCTTGGGACAGGGCTCCTTGCGGCGAGACTGGCTGACTGTTCTGCCACGTCAGATCTATGGCGTCATCGTGCCAGTCTGGCATGGCCACGTCATCAGGAGGAACCTCCACCGTCACACCCTCCCAACCTGCTAGCGAGAAAGGAGGAGGTTAGGGAGGGGAGCGGGGGTCGGCGCGTGTGGGAAATTGGGGGGGGGGGAAAAGAGATATGCCGGGAAAAGGGTGAGGGAGGGAGTGGGTTGTGCACTGAAGAACGAAACTGGCGGGGTCATAAAACACGAAAGGATGCATGGAAACAGAAAAAAAGGATGTTGGTCTAGGAAGCACCAGTTGTAAGTTGTCTGCTGGCGTGATTGACAAGTCACGGCGAATCCATGACGTGAATTTCACGAACAGGCGTAGCTAAGGCGTGGTTAATGGTTCATTCATGTGCTTGCCTTCTTGCAGATGCAGTGCCTCCTCCTGCGACGTGCTCACTAACGCGTCCTCCAGCACCTGACAAAGGCCATGGAGGAAACACGAAGACCGGGACGTAAAACGAAAAATGCAAATCCACGACCAAAAAAAGAGCAGATGATGGAGGTATACAGAACAACAATGTCGCACGGGACGGAACAGGGAACATAACGGTAAGAAGCAAAGACGCGGTGTCAAAGACGAGCCGACTGACCTGATCGACTTGCATCTCAACCTCTTCGCTTAAATCATCCTGGCGGGGATTCGCTCCTTTTTCGCCGTTCCGCTGTGAACCCATTCCAGATGCGCCTTCGTTTCGACCATCCCTCTGAGATTCCGGGCCCGTAACCTCTTCGTTACCGTCGGCCTCCCTTCCTTCCGGCTCTATCGAATCCGGAATACGCTGGTCATAATCGCGAAGGTTTGTTTCGTCTAAGCTTTCAGCCATACGGTTCGTCGGAAACCGAAGCTTCGAAAACGTACGGGCAAAAGTAAGATCTGTACGGGATCCTCACGATAGGCACCAGGGGATTCGCTCGGGTCGGGGATGGATGTGCCTGCTTGTCCTAGCGTATTCCCTGAAAAGATGCAACTATTTTGAGTACTTATTTGCAGTTGCAGTTGGTATATAAGCTACTGTACAGTGTGAATAGTTTTTTCGCTTGCTTGATGGGTAGGGAACTGTTTGGTGTAGATATTGCAAGGTGCAGTAATGAGGAGTTTCAAGAATGAGGGGTTGGGCTGGGTTGGGACCTTAGGAGGTTCTGCACCTCGTGAATTCACACCTCGGGAATTGATGCTTCCTGAATTCTCTTGCTGATCACGAAGGCCCATAGCTTGGTACTTAGGTTTACCAATCGTCTCGCCTGCACTACTATGGGAACAACCTGCTATATTTAACTACCAAGATCCGACTTTGATGTCATGAGCGGCGAGCCGGTCACGGTCTTCGTCTTTGATGACGTGGCGCCAGCCGACTTTGAGCACTGGCTGTCGTTCGACGAAGCCGTTCTGCCCCATCCTCCGCCTTCCAGCGACGACCCTCTCTTGCAGACGCAATATCTCCCGGAGTTACCATTTACGACCTTAGATCCGTCACTCTCTTTCCTGATAGGCGATGATGTTCCTGTAGGCGATGCGTATATAGGAGACGTTAACAAATACTATGTTCCTAGACGCGATGCTTCCACTAATAAAGCCGAAGTTAATTCAGAATTACGATTGGATGGTTTACCTGGAGTGCAAACGGACAGCCGGATTTTACTTGATTCGGATGGCGGAGATCCCGTGGGACAAACAGACACACGCGAGGCGTGCACGGATGGACCCGGTGAAGCTGCGATTATAACACATTTATTAGATGCGTGGGACTCCAGCGGCGTGAGCCATAGCCATGACTCTGCCACGCGCGAGGACGACCGAGTAGAAAGGGCCGAATGCTTATATCCGGGGACGTGGTATCTTCCGGATGCGGGAAACGTTCTTGCAGGCAGCAATTCTGCATCCAGCAATTTAGACACGTTCCTGTCAGAGCTGGCTGCTCCATCCACGTGGTTTCGTGATCCTTCTCGGAATGCGGAGAGGGGATCCGAGCAAGTTTTTCCTGTCACGTCAGCATCCGTTCTGCGCGCATTGCAGCCTGACGGTTCCAGTCCTCAGGTTCTGACCTTCGAGGAAGCTTCGGAGGGCCTGTTCGCGGCGGTAGCGCCAGCGACTTTTCAGAGCGCGAGGGGCCGCGGGGAGCAGGTGCAGCTTGAGCAAGCACAGAGGACGCAGCTGCTGCTGCCAGAGCAGGAAGAAGCACCAAATGAGCTGCTGACGCCGCAGCAGCAGACCCAGCAACATTCGCAGCAGCAGACGCAGCAGCAAGGGCAATGTCACGAGAAGCAACAGCAGCAGCAGCAGGAAGCCCTTCACTCGAGCATACCCGCCAGCACACGGCCTCTCTCCTCCGCCATCCATGCCCATCCCTCACCCCCTCAGCGCTCCTCTCCAGATCAACGCCGCTCACCCTATCGTGACGGTGACATAGGAGTGGGCGCGATTAGAGGACCTCCCGTCGACCCTCCCTCCGCTCCGCCCCCGTGCAAGCTACCTCGGCGCCCCCCTGACCTCTCGTCCCGTCTCGCCGCAGTGCTGCAGAACATCAACCCGTCGCGCCCTGCGCCCTCCCCCTGGCGACCCGTTCCCTGCTTGCCCAAGCCGGGCCTTCCTTCTGCTGCCACTCCTGCAACTCCCGCTGCCACTGCGTCTATCTCTGCAGCTCAGTCGTTCCCCGTGCCAGGTTCCTCCACAGCAGCAGCAGCAGCGATTCCAACAGCAGCGGCAGCAGCAGCAGCAGCAACAGCACCAGCAGCAGCATCTGCAGTAGCAGCAGCAGCGGTAGCGGTAGCACTAGCTTGCACAGTGTCTTGTCTAAAGGCGCCTGAGAGCAGGATGGTGGCTGGAGGCAGTCGGGGAGGCGCGAGAGCTTTTATGGGCTCAACACTGCTCTCCTCTGCTGCTCGCACCAGCGACGCTGCTGCTTACGGATATGACCAGCGAGTGCAGTGGAAGGCAGCCGTTTTGGACAAGACTGCAGTTCGCAAAATTCGCGTCACTGCGGCGCACAGCGACCCACTCAGCATGGCTTCGGACGATGAAGATGATCATTGCGCAGCAAGCAGGCCGTCCGTTGCCGCCCCATACATTCCTGAATTCGGTCCTGAGAGGCCCCTGCGGGTGGATGTGTCGGGCATGCTGCCACGGCCCATGTGTGGCGCGAAAGAGGGCATGCTGAAGCGGCAGCTCATGGCTCTCGCTGAAGCCATGGCTGTTGATGACTCGGTGCGTGAGGCTCGTGGGGGATGGCAAGGCTTGTGTCACATGGGGCTTGGGGTGTATAATCGATAACCAGGCATGGCTTGTGTCACATGGGGCTTGGGGTGTATAATCGATAACCAGGCATGGCTTGTGTCACATGGGGCTTGGGGTGTATAATCGATAACCAGGCATGGCTTGTGTCACATGGGGCTTGGGGTGTATAATCGATAACCAGGCATGGCTTGTGTTCCTTAGCTCCTCCTGATGCATTGTTGAGCAAGAGCTGCATTGCACTACTTCAAGTCCCACCTCATTTCATCCCCTCCCCCACCTCATTTCATCCTGTCCCCCACCTCACTTCTTCCCCAGCCTATCCTTCACCATGCACACTCGTGAGCTGCAACCTAACGGATCTGCTCGCTCACACGCCTCTCCGCTTCCCCCACTTCCCCCTCGTTCCTCTTGCTCCCCCTCTCAGCCTCCTCCCTATCTCTCCTGCCTCCCTCGCCTCCCCTGCGTCACCAGGTGCGGTGGCGGCAGTTCATGCGGCAGGTGCGGAGGGAGGCAGCAGCGGGGGGGGACACGCTGCAGCGCATCGCCTTCCACGCGCTCCAGGCACTAGAGGCGCGCATGGATGGCACCGCAATCACGCGTTGGCGCTCCCCCTTGAAAATCACCCTTCAGGTGCTTACTCTCTTGACTCCTCATCTTCCCCCATCCCCACCTACCTCCCTCCCCCCTTCCCTCCCTCTCCCCCTTGGCCCCTCTCCTTTTTCCCCACCTTTCCACCTCCCCACCTCCCTACCTTCCCCCTTTCCTCCCTCCCCCGTTTTACCATTCCTGGTTCCCCACCCCAGCGAACGTTGTTAGACATCTCTATGTGTATATGTATCGGGATGTGGGTTTACACACACACACACACACACACACACACACACACAAAACACACACACACACACACACACACACACACACACGTTTTTGTTTCTTTTGGCATGTTCCCTTTCCTGTCAGGTACTGTATGTCCCCTTTCCTTTCCTTTCTGCTAGTTTACAGTGTTTCGTGCATGCCATGTGTCCCATCCATCTCACTCATGCCATGCATCCCATTCATGCCATGCATCTCATTTATGTCATGCCTTCCATGCATGCCACGTGTCCCATGTGAGCAGGATTCGGTGGCAGTGTTGGGCCACGGCAACAACGGAGTGCCGGCATTCATGCACCTCGCCAACACTGCAGCCGTGCACGAAACAGTCCGCGCATTCACCCACCAATCACGCGCACACACACACCCACATAGTCCACACCCCCATACTCCCCTCCCCCTGCCAGCCTCTTTCCCTGCCTCTGCCTCTGCCGGCCAGTCGGTGCGGCGGCGGCGGCTGCACATCATAGCCATTGGACTTTACTCCGGGCCGCACTGGATCGAGATCTTCATGCGCCTCGCCGCCCACTTCTCCTCACCCCCTCTCCTCCCTGCCACCGCCGCCACGGCCAATGGGCATCCACCAAGTGGAATCCCAGGTGTGGGAGCGGGGGCAGTGCCGAATGGAACTGGTGGGGGTGTGAGCGCTGTTCAGGGCAGAGCAGGGGCGTTCGGAGCAGGTTCAACTGGGGGAGGTGCGGCCGCAGATGCACCTGTGCCAGGCAGCTATAGCTTTACCAGCAGCGGCAGCAGTGGTAGCCCGCACCCGACAACTCCCTCCGCACCTCTTCCACACGCTACTCCCCCCTCCCGCCCCACGGCCCATGTGAAAATCACAGCCGTTGATTTTGGGTTTGTCAGTCTGGAGGAGTATCCAACGGGCCTGGTGCATCTGAGCGGGCAGTACCTGGAGCAGGTGGCATCTATGATGGGCCTCTCCCTGTCGTTTCACGGCATGGAAACCACCCCACACGACTTCCACCCATCACAAGTGGAGGTGGATGAAGGCGAGGAGGTAGTGGTGCTGGCCAATTGGGGCCTCATGGTCTTTCCAGACGACACGGTCCTTCGCTCCAACCCCCGCAACGCCATTCTCAAGTGGATTCGCGACCTGCGCCCCCTGCTCCTCCTCCAAGTGGACATTGATTTAGATGCCAATGGGCCCTTCTTCCTCTCGCGCTTCCACGCTGCATTTGCCAACTTTGCCGCTCTCATCGAGTCCTTTGATGCTTCCATGCCGCACGCCGCCTTGCCGCGCCTCATCGCGGAAACCATTCTGGCACGGGACTTCATAAACGAGGTGGCATGTGAGGGCATGGACAGATGGCTGCGCTCGGAGCGACTGGAGAAATGGGTGCTTCGGATGAAAGCAGTGGGGCTGGAGCCGGTGCCGATAGGGCCGGACACAGTGGCTGCTGGGAGGGAGATCACAGAGGGCAGAGACAAGAGGTTCCGGCTGGAAGTGCATGTTGAGACGGGCGCCCTGCAGCTCAGCTGGCGCGGCGTGCCGTTGATCTTCGTGGCCGCCTGGAAATGAGCTTTGAGAGGATCTCAAAAGTTGTGGCGTCCACATGTTATTTTTGGCCACCTGGTGATGAGCTTTTAGACGGTCTCTGAAGTTTTGGCATCGTGGCCGCTTCGAAACGAACTGGTATTGTCTCTCTGAGCAGCTATTTGGCAGGGCAACGGCAAAGACAGCACGGCAAGACTCGGTCAATAAAACCAGGGTAGGTTTCAGCCGTGTGATGTCCTGGTTGAAACACCACACCCCTGCATTTTACCCTGCGTGCCCTGTCTTGCGTATGTTTATTGTGTTCCATGTTTTGCATTTGCTTGTGCCTATCCAGCATCCCTCCTTTGTGACTTTTTCTTCTTCTCAGAACCCCTACTTGCTTACACCATCCTGTTTGTTGCTGCAGGTTCCTAAAATATTTCCTGTCATCTCATGACAGTCATATGATACGCAAGTCATGGCCCATCCTGCCAGCAGTTTCTTATTCAGGTTGACCAAACACAGGATGTGCTCCCTTCCAGCGATGTCAAATTACCGTAAATACCCGACTAATAGCCCCCCCAAAATAATAGCCCCCCGGGTCGTGAAATGGGGGTGGGTCTAATCCTATTTGCACTTTTGTAATAAACCCGCTTTTTTTAACGTATCCGCTTAAGACCCCCCTTTCTATAAACACATACATATCGAGTGAAATTGTAGGGAGGAAAAGTCAAGCCAGTCCGAAATTCCTGCTGACATCAGTGAATCACCACGTGCTCGTCTCGCGCACGCGCGTGATCGATTTTAGCACCTGACGCGACAATGTAAATGTTCAATTCGAGCATTAATTTTGCTCGGAGTAGAATAAAACCCGGGGGTGTATTAGCCGGATCTGACATGCTGGACAACCATTTTTCCAGTGTATATCAACGAATGATACATTATTACCCCAGATATGTGCCAAACGAAGAGAAGTTCTTTTGCGGGGTACTGACACCAGATTTGTTTGACCCGCCATTAGGCGAGAATGCTTGGCCTTCCCTCGCTCACGTTACAGAGTTTCGCGAACGTCACCATCATTCCTCGATCACCAAGACTCCCCACTGCTGTGGGAGATCTCGTTCCCTAGTGTATCTCCGATGTTACAGCTGTTCTGGTACGGTAACGTCTGGTGTCAGACGGTACCACAAGAGCCATTCCCTCCATCGCCTCCCCCCCATGCCCCTCCATTTCCACCCATCATGATGATGATGCTGATGAGATGAGATGATCCGATCTTAGTCTACTCATTTCTATGCTTACTGGTTAGGCAGTTTTTACTTGCTACTAGTTTTTTCCCCTGGCGTGCCAACCGAGCTTCTTCTGTTACACACGAGTCACGACGTTCCGCTGACATCATCGTTTATTGATCCGTCCGTTAGGACCAACGGAGCCGATTAACCTTTTTGATCCGTGTCGTTGCTCATAACCACCTAATCCGATAGCAATCGACGCATTCCGTCGTTCTTCTGCTGGCCTTGGTATAACCGCGGATCGTCAAGTCTGGCGACGATCGCGTTCCGTAAAAAAATTGGTCAGAGGATCAGAGCTGAGATCACGTTTTGAATTCGCCACTCGGCACAGATGGGTCGAAAGAAGAACCAGAAGGGCCGTCAACAGACCACCGCTGTTGCAGCAGCAGCGGCTCCTAGCCCAACCGTCAACTCTGCTGCTCCCGCCGCAGCACCCGCGAGCGATCCTCTCGCGAAGGCCACCGCAGCAGATCCGCCATCCGCGCTCCCTTCCGCAGGCGCGCCGTCCGCGGAAGATCTCCCGTCGATCAACGTGACCTCCCCTTTCCGCGCCACGGCGAGTCGCGATTCCAGCGATTCTCACGACGCGGACGTCTTCGTCGAGCCGCCGGAGCACTTCAGCGACGGCTCGCGAACTCCGCACGATGGTAACCGCACGCCCACCTTCGAGGACGCTTCCGGCAGATTCCCACCCGAGTCGCCGATGGCGAATGGCAGCAGCGGCGCCGGGGGCGGCGGTAGCGGCGGGTTTGGCGCGCAGGTGGAGGCGGAGAAGCTGCGGAAGCAGCTGGAGGAAATGGCGCAGCGGTGCCGGGAGTTGGAGGAGGGGAAGCGCGGTTCGGAGGTTGCGAGGAAGAGCGTTCAGCAGGCGAAGAACGCGCTAGAAAAGGACCTGGCGGCGGCCGCGGAGAAGACGTCTAAGGCGGAAGAGGCGGCGGCTGCAGGGAAGGCGGAACGCGCGCGCCTGGAGGGGCTGGTGACGGCTGCGGAGGGGGAGATCGCGCGGCTGAAGGGGGAATTAGCGGGGAAGGAAGCGGAGGCGGGGAATATGCGGGGAGAATTGGATCTGGCAAAGAAAGAGGTAGCGGCGTTGAGAGGCGATATGAGTGAGAAGGCGAGGGCGCATGAGGAAATGGTGCTGGCTCTGAAGCAAGAGTCGGAGGCTATGGCGGCGGCGCGAGACGCGGCGATCAAGGAATGCGCGGAAGCCACGGCGAAATGCGCCGACCTGTTGAAGTGAGCGTGCACTAGTGGCTGATTGCGGGAGGTTTGCAAATGCTCGCGGGGTTCAGGGGTTTGCAGTCGTTGACCATAATTACCCAATATTTCCCCCACTCTTTCCTCCTTCCTTCTCTCTCCAGGGCTTCAGCTGAAACTGCGGCCAGATTAGACGAGCTTACCCGCTCCTTGCAGACGCTGGAGCAGGACAAGCAAAGCTGGGCGGCAGACAGAGAGAAATGGGCGGCAGAGAAGAGCAGCTGGGAGGAGGAACGGGCGAGCTGGGCGGCAGAGAAGCGGAGCTGGGCGGCAGAGCGCGAGAAGTGGGCAGCAGAGAAGGCGGCAAAGGAGAAGGAGAGCGGTGAACGGGATGAAGGGCGGAGAGAGCTGGAGCAGCGTGTGGAGGCACTCAGTGGTCGGCTGGCAGCAGCTGAAGCGGCGAGAACGGAGGCTGAAGCTGCACGAGCAGAGGCAGAAGCGGCGAGAGGAGCAGCTGAGGCGGCAAAGGCAGAGGCGGAAGGGGCGAGAGCAGCGGCTGACGCTGGGCGAGCAGAGGCAGAGAAGTCGCTGGAGGGGAAGAAGGGCGAGTCGGACCACGCTACCAGGTACGGCGTCGATTCCATGCGCCTCTCTGTGCCGTTGTGCAGTGTGGTCTGTGCAGCCTGTTGTCTCAGGGCTTAGTGCCCCCGTACAGTACAGTGTACTGAGTACACCTTGTGCCCTCCTCCCACGCACCCCGCTTATCATGTGCTCACACACACCCCACACTGTTCCCCTCCATTGCTGGCTGCTTCTCTCAACGTGTGTATATGCGCCCCAGAGTGGCAGCCAAGGCGGCAGCCCGCCTGGCGGAGCTGCAGCAGAGCCTGACGCAGGCGCAGGTGGAGCTGGTGCAGGCGCACTCCGCGCTGCAAGAAAAGGACGGCCAGTTGACGGGCAAGGACGCGCAGGTGCAGGCTATGACCGAGCAGATAAAGGCACTGGAGCAGCGGGTGAAAGTAGCAGAAGAGGAGATCAAAGCAAGTGCGGAGGAGGCGAGGAGGAAGGAGGAGGAGGCGAGGGAGGCGAGGCGAGAGGTTGAAGCCGTGAGAGGGGAGCTGGGGGCGCTGCAGGGGGAGTTGAAGGCAGCAGCGCAGCAGCTTGCCCAGGCGAAGCAGGAGGGGGGTGCGGGTGGGGAGAGTGCGGGTGGGGAGAGTGCGGGGAGCAGGGTGGGGGAGCTGGAGGCGCGGGTGGAGGCTCTGCTGGGGGAGGTCGCATCTGCGGTGCAGGCGCGGGCGGAGGTGGAGGGGAAGCTGGCGAGTGGCAGCCGGGAGAATGCCAGGCTGGCAGAGTGAGTGCGCTGCCTGGCCTGAGAGGCTTTGTTAAGCTGCCTAGTGAGATGCCCTTAGTCAAGCCGTGCGACCCCTGCTGCCATGCCAACCCCCTCTGTCCCTGTCTCTACCACCCCCTCCCGTTCCACCACCCACCCCCCCCTCACCCACTTACCCCCTCACAGGCTGGCGGCATCCCAGAAGGCAGGCAGAGGCAAAGGCCATGTTTGTGCAGCTGGCGCAGGTGAAGCGGGATAACGCCCCACTTGCCCTTCCCCTCAACACCCCCTCTCCCTCTCTTCCCCAACCCTCACACAGACTAGCAGCAAGCAAGGAGGCAGAGGCAAAGACCATGTTCGTCCAGCTGGGGCAGGTGAAGCGGGATAACGCCTCCCTCAGCAGCGACCTGGCGGCCGCTACGGACAAGATCCAGGAGCTAGTGGCCAAGAACCGCCGCATTGACAAGGACGTGGTAACCGCCGCGGCCGAGGCGGCGTTACGCGAGCAGGAGGGGGGAGGTGGGAGTGGGGAAGGGTGGAGCTCTGTGGCGCTGGTGACGGTGGGCGTGGGGGCTGCGGCTGTGGGGGGGCTTGCTGTCCTGCGACTCATGGGACCGCGTGCGTGAGGGGGGAAGTGGTTGAGAGGGATGCTGTGAGAGGTGGGGAGGGTGTGAAGGTGGGGTTTACATGAGAGGTGGGGTGGTGTGTGAGAGGGGGACGTGCGTGAGGGAGAGGTGTATGGATGGATGAGAGCTAGAGTGACTGATTGCAATGGATGTGTGTGACTGACTGAATGATTGATTCGGATGCGTGTGGGAGCTGATACGGTGATACCTTAATGGCATAATTAGGGTACTACAGTGGTTTACAACCAGGATTGACTGATGAACCATTTTGTCGGTATAAAGCGAACCATATCCTGATGTTCCCTGCCTGTTTTTGACTCATTAGCCATCTCAATTAACCATCTCATCAACCATCTCATTAACACTCTAGAGAGGTACATGTGCCTACAACACTACTCAGCGGTCCCCAGCAGGTAAGGTGAATCCATTTTATTCAAATGACATCAGTGTGCTACTTGTTACACTCTGGCTGTAGTGGACACCTGGAAGGAGCAGAATAGCCAAACCATGCGCTAATCCACTGTACAGCTTATACAGTAAGATTTTGCCTGTGTCTACACCTCTATAGCAACGCACTTGGTAACGGTCCAGTAGTTCTCTGCCACGGGGAGGTAACCCTTGGTGCAAGCACAGCGGTAGCCGAGAGGGGAGAGGAAGTTGGGTTGACAGATGCTGTTGGGAGGGCACTTGGGGTTAGGGGGACAGGCCTTACGCACCAGATTTTTTGTCACTGTGGGGGTTGGGGGGCGGGGAGGAGAGAGTAGGAGAGGTGGAAGGGAAAGTGGGAAAGGGAGGAAGTGAATTTCGGCAGGTGCCGTTGGGAGCGCACTTGGGGTTGGGGGGACAGGCCTTGCGCACCAGATTGTTTGTTACTGCGGCGGGGAAAGGGGTGGGCAAGGGAGGTGGAAAGGAAAGGAGGAAGAAAGTTGTGAGGTGTGAAAGAACAAGCTGATTATTTTTTAGAATTCTCAAAAAATCCCAGGAAGTAAGTTGTGAAGTGTGAGAGAAGAAGCTGGATCTGCAGGTGCTGCTGGGGCGACAGGGCTTGAGTACCAGGTTGTTGTTTGTTACTGTGTGTGTGGGGGAGAGGGGAGTGAAAGGAAGGAAAGCAGTAGATTTACTGTGATCTTGGGCTGATTGCTTTGGTGGGTTATGGATGGCAAAAGTGAAGGGGAGGCAGGTGCTGCTCAGGAGTAAGCCTGTAAAAGAATATTCGTTATTCGAGAACTATTCGATATTCGTTCAAATACCCGAATTCGAGAGAATAACGACCATGTATTCGAAAATATTCGCATCACGGGCATTCGTGAATGTAGAATATTCGGGTAACAAATATTTGAGGTATTCATACTATTCGTTATTCTACCATTAACCCCCCCCTCATACTTTCCCTACATGCGGCTATCATCTTTGGCAGTCTGTGTACCAGAGGCCATGTGAGAGCTATGCATGAAAGAAGCTGGAGAGGGGTTTAGTCGTGGTGTTGGTAGAATAAGGTACATTTTATCACCATGTGTCGAACATGCATTACCCGTTCGACCCTGCCTCTACAAGATTTATACTCAAAACTTAATCGTATTCGATTCTTATTCGACAGTATTCGAATCGTATTCGTATTCGGTTTTGGGTCAGAACTCGTATTGTATTCGTATTCGGTTTGGGGTCAGTATTCGGTCAAATAAGAAGCCACACATTATTCGGAGAATAGGGTGAAAAAATATTCGTATTCGTATTCGTATTCATTTTTACAGGCTTACTCAGGAGGCACTTGGCCGTGAAAAAATCTTTATCATTCTCCTCTTCCCCAAATTTCTCACCTTTCACGCAGTACTGGTTGTCGGCCGTGGCAGCAGCGCCCTTCTGGCAACGGCAGGCAGCATACACCACGGCGCTGTCGTTCTTGCGCAAGCTGGCCGGTACACACACGCCCCGCCGCCCACACGTGCCGAGCTTGCTTGCCGCCCGGCAGAACGTCCAACAGGCTTCTGCGCTGCGCTGAGGTGGCTTGTTGCCGCATGTCTTCTTGTCCCACCTGTGCTTGGTGTGGGGGTGTGATGTGAGGGGCCATGGGGACTAGAGATGGGGGTCCAGCAGGCTTATTGTCCCACCTGTGCTTGGTGTGGGGGTGTGATGTGAGGGGCCATGGGGACTAGAGATGGGGGTCCAGCAGGCTTCTGCGCTGTGCTGTGCTGCGCTGCGCTGCGCTGGGGCGGTTTCTTGTCCCAAATGTGCGTGGTGTTGGTGTGTGAGTGAGGAAAGGTGGAAGGGGCAATGAGGGGCAGCAGCGGATTGGCTTCACACACGCATCTCTAGAGGGGATGCAACTAGAATGAAGGACGTAATGAGGGGATGCAGCATAAATACACCAATCACAGCTGTTCCTGCACCTCTTTCTTCCATGCCCCCACTTTTTCCGGCCTCGCTACTGTCGTCGCACGCACCACTTGAGGCGCAGGCAGTTGCTTTCCACGTCAGACTCGCCAGGGCAGAGGGAAGTGCCGTTCTTGGCCTTGTATGACACCTCCCCCACGAAGTAATTAGATGCCAGGCTGTGGTACGGTAGCAGCAGGTAGCGTGGAGGGATGGTGCCACTGAGATAGTTGGAGCGCACATTGCTGTGCAGGGGTGGGGTGGGGTGGAGGGGGGTAAAGTGGGGTGGGAGGTGAGAGACCTCCTCTGCAAAGTACTTGGACGACAGGCTGTAGCATGGCAGGAGCAGGTAGCGTGGAGGGATGGTGCGGCTGAGATAGTTGGAGCGCATGGTGCTGTGGGTGAAGGTGGGGAGGGATGGGTGGGAGAGGGTTGGGAGATACGAGGGGGTGTGAGCTGCGGTGAAAGAAGCGCAGTGCAGTGCATGCCGATTCAAAGCACGTCTTCACGCACTGCTGCCCTTCTAACATGAGTCAGGAAGGCCAATGCATGACTCACATGTCGGTGAGCAGCTTGAGTCGGTCGATGTTGGGGAGAGTCCCGGATAGATAGTTGCTCTCTAGGTTGCTGTACCGCCACCGCACACAGCACAACACATAACAGACACGAGTCAGCAAATGATTTCAGATTAAAAAACATGCCAGAGGAAGCAGCGTTTCCGCGTGTCTATGTTGGCCTGGCTGGTCAACTTGTCCCTCCCTGCCCACCAGCATTGTGTTACCATGCTGAACGCTAACGATTCTCAGAATGATTTGAGACACCTAACATTGAGGAAAGGTCCTGCGCAAATGTGCTTGTTCTCACATGTCCTCCGCTGCTCTCTCCGGAGAGAGCATGTGTTTGTCCTCTGCTGCTCTCTCCAGAGAGAGCATGTGTTTGTCCTCCGCTGCTCTCTCCAGAGAGAGCATGGGTTTATCCTCCGCTGCTCTCTCCAGAGAGAGCATGTGTTTGTCCTCTGCTGCTCTCTCCGGAGAGAGCATGTGTTTGTCCTCTGCTGCTCTCTCCGGAGAGAGCATGCGTTTGTCCTCCGCTGCTCTCTCCGGAGAGAGCATGCGTTTGTCCTCCGCTGCTCTCTCCAGAGAGAGCATGCGTTTGTCCTCTGCTGCTCTCTCCGGAGAGAGCATGTGTTTGTCCTCTGCTGCTCTCTCCGGAGAGAGCATGTGTTTGTCCTCTGCTGCTCTCTCCAGAGAGAGCATGTGTTTGTCCTCTGCTGCTCTCTCCAGAGAGAGCATGTGTTTGTCCTCTGCTGCTCTCTCCGGAGAGAGCATGTGTTTGTCCTCTGCTGCTCTCTCCAGAGAGAGCATGTGTTTGTCCTCTGCTGCTCTCTCCGGAGAGAGCATGCGTTTGTCCTCTGCTGCTCTCTCCGGTTAGAGTTCTCACTCGTCTTCCCTCTCTCACATGCTCTTCCCCGCTCACATGCTTTGAATGTTGGCCAGGCTGGTCAGTTGTTCCGGGATGCTCCCGCTCAGCTTGTTGTAGTTCAGCGACCTGCCATGGTGACGTGGCAATGGGACGGTGACGTGGCGTTGTGACCGTGACATGGCTTTAGGGTGGTGACGTGGCATTGGGATGATGACGTGGAAACGGCCATGTGTAGAGAGAAACGGGCAGAGCCTGGAGAGAGCCGGAAGAGCAATGGAATGCAGCACAGAGCGGTGTGCATTGCAATGTTATGGGAGTAATGGAGACCGGTAAGTGGCACAGCAGAGCAACGTGGGGGATGAAGCATGAAGAGCGGATAGAAAACGATGCAGGAGAAGAAGGGAAGGTAGAAGGGAGGAAGGAATGGGGGCTGACAGGTAGGTGAGCTTGGAGAGGGAGGCGAGGGCCGCGGGGATAGACCCTGTCAGCCAGTTGTAGCGCAACCCCCTGCATGGGCATTGGGGGGAGGAGGGGGCGGAAGGGAGGAAGGGGGTATGAGGGAGGGGGATTTGAGGTGACAGTGAGGTTGTAAGGTAACAGTGGGGGATGTAAGGTAACAGTGGGGGATGTAAGGTAACAGTGGGGCAACAGTGAGAGGAGACAGTCAAGCCTTGGGTGGTGGATGCGTGCATCATAGCAGACAGCCAGGCAGCCAGTTGTTGCACAGCCCTCTACTGGCGTTGACTGCGTTGACTCGCAGGAATGCATGTTGACTGCGTTGACTTGCAGGAATGCAGGTTGACTGCGTCGACTCACAGGAACTGCAGGTTGACTGCGTTGACTCACAGGAACTGCAGGTTGACTGCGTTGACTCACAGGAACTGCAGGCTCTTGAGGCGTGAGAGGTCCTTGGGGATGCTGCCCGAAAACATGTTGTTGCTCAGCCGCCTGCCGTGGGGGGAGGGATACATGGGGGGAGGGATACATGGGGGGAGGGATACATGGGGGGAGGGATACATGGGGGGAGGGATACATGGGGGGAGGGATACATGGGGGGAGGGATACATGGGGTGAGGGATACATGGGGTGAAGGGGTGACATGAGGGATAAGGGACGGTTAAGTGTGAGACGTAGCAGAATCTTGAAGCATCAGGGGGAACTGCAGGCAGGTTGGTAGTCGGGCATAATTAGAGTGGCATGCGAATAGTTGCCCAAATGCAGGACTTTGAAGAGGAGAGAGAGAGTACAATAAGGACGAAACGCCATTGGGTTCTCACAGGTAGGAAAGAGAGACGAAGCTTCCGATGTATGCAGGGATGCTGCCCCCAAACGCATTGTCGTTCATGTACCTGCGGCACCATCATTGGGGGGCGAGTTGGGAATTTGTGCGTCAACGCAATAACCGTACCAAAAGGAAGCGAGGGAAGGCTGGAATCTTAAACTTGGCACTCACAGTCACACTCAGACAGTCACACTCAGACAGTCACACTCAGACAGTCACACTCAGACAGTCACACTAAAGAAGTCACTTTCACAGGCACAGTACAAAAGTGACACTCACAGCTCCCGCAGCTTGGTGAGGGAGGAGAAGGAGGGTGGCAGTTTGCCGCCCAGAGCATCACCACCGTGCGACAACACTCTGCCGTGATTGGTGGGCGGGGAGGGAAGGGAGGGAGGACATGGAGAGCGGTAGTAGCCCAAATATGTTTCCCGCTTGTCTTGTGTTGAGTTGACAGACTTGGGTTGACTTGGCTTGACGCGGGGTTGACCTAGGCTGACTTGGGTTGACTAGCGTTGACTCACAGCTTCTTCAGGTTCTTCAAGTTGCCGAAGCCAGGAGGGAGGGATCCGCTTAAGTCGTTGAACCCAAGGTCCCTGTAACGCGGATGGGGAGGTAGAGAGGGTTGAGAGGTTGAGATGATTGGACGGAGAGATAGGCTCGCGCCCATAGAGCGCCAATCCAGCAGGGCAGCGAGGTCGCCTTCTATGTGATAGGCCGGCAGCGAGGTTGCCTTCCATGTGGTAGGCCGGCAGCGAGGTTTGGGGATACTTCACATAGAGAAGAGAGGGCGGGCATGGACGTAGGACAAGGCAGTTGAAGCGGAGGGGGTGGGAAGAGAAAAGCACAGAGGATTTTTTAACTTCTAAAAACAACCACGCAGATTAGCACAGAATAGCAAGTAATCACTCAGCATGTCCCGTGCAACAAGGTGGCGTGCGGGCGGTTGGGCTCACAGGTGGGTGAGGGCAGTTAGGGCCGTGACGAATGGTGGTAGTGGAGTTGATAGATAGTTCTGATTCAGGTTCCTGCCAGGGCGAGATATGCACAGAGATGGAGAGCGACGCAAAGAGATGTAGAGCGATGGAGAGCGATGAAAAGGGTCGCAGAGAGATCCAAAGAGATGCAAAGAGATGCTCCAATGCTGAATCGGTTGGCGCACGAGGCTTCAATTTGCATCCAAGCGAGCTGCCCTGCCCTGCCCTGTGTTATGGCTCGAGCAGCAGCACATGCCAAGCGCACATGCCAAGCGCACAGGCCAAGCGCACATGCCAAGCGCACAGGCCACGAGATATTGCGTGCAGCGGGGACATCGGTGCATACAATACAACGGAACATGTGGGTGCCTATAACGCGTACAAGGGCGTGCGGGTCTCACAGGTGCTTGAGCAAACCCAGGTTGCCGAGTGCGTTGGGTGCCTTTTCAATGTCCAGCGCCTGTAGGTTGCTGCCGCGTCATGGTGGAGAGGAGAGACGAGCGCGGGAGGAGAGATGGCATGTGGCATTGGCATGGGGCAGAGGGGGAGACAGAGGGGGAGACAGAGGGGGAGACAGAGGGGGAGACAGAGGGGGAGACAGAGGGGGAGACAGAGGAAGGTTTGGTGTGGCGCAGTGCCAGAAGGGTTGAGGCACAGTTCCGCGGAGGAGGAGGAATGCTGCGATGGGGGAGAGGCATAGGGTGAGGCGATGGGGGAGAGGCATAGGGTGAGGCGATGGGGGAGAGGCATAGGGTGAGGCGATGGGGGAGAGGCATAGGGTGAGGCGATGGGGGAGAGGAGGCGAGGGGCACGGCAGGGGACACGGCGAGACACACGCACAGGTAGACGCGGCACACGCATAGGTAGACGCGACACACGCATAGGTAGACGCGGCACACGCATAGGTAGACGCGGCACACGCACAGCATGAAGAGGTGCGTACAGGTAGACGAGATTGGTGAGGGGGCCGAGGGGAGTCACGTCCTTGATGGGATTCTGGCTCATGTCGCTGCCGGGGGAAAGGGGGAGATTTTGTGGATTAATGGGGGACAGGGCGGATGGGAAGGATGGTGGACGGGGGACGGGGGACGGGGGACGGGGGACGGGGGATGGGGGATGGGGGACGGGGGATGGGGGATGGGGGATGGGGGACGGGGGATGGGGGATGGGGGATGGGGGATGGGGGATGGGGAGGGGATGGGACAATGTGGAGTATTGTTGGTGGTGTCCTTTGTCGCACTTGCATTGAAGAAGGACGATCATTGACTTGTGTTGACTTCCAAGAGTGACTGTTGCTTTGCGTTGCCTCGTAGCGAAGTGCGATTGACTTGCGTTGACTCATTGCGGAGCAAGCACGAACTCGCGTTGACTCACAGCAAGGCGAGCGCAGTAAGGGCGTTGAGTCCCTTGATTGTGCCGTTGATGTTGGTGTTGCTCACGTTCCTGCGCGCACCAGCACGCACCAGCACGCACCGCCACACACCGTCTCACACCGTTACAAACCATCACACACACACGCGAATTGAATGCGGAATGCTTCTGTAAGCTTGCATAGTTCCCGCCGTTGCTTCACGTTGCAATCCAACCATCCTTCTGATATTACACACGCTCTAAGCCGCGTTTCATGTGAGAGTACGTACAGTCCGACGATGATACCCTTGTCGTTGCAGATGATCCCGGGGTACGCCACGCAGCGCTTCGGCGGCTGCTTCGACGACCACGCGCCCGAGTAGTTGAACCCGCGGCCCCACTCCGTGGCCAGAGAGCGCAGCACCGCCACTGCACGCACAAGCACGAGTAGGTGTTGACAAATGGGGGCCAGTGGATGACAAATCCCGTTGGTATGGTAAACGCGGTGTGAGTTATTGCCCGCGCTTCGAGTGCATGCGTTGCGTGCACTGCGAGTGTGCCCACACCAGGATGGGAATGCGAGCGGTGCGCACACCGGGATGGGAATGCGTGCGGTGCGTACATTGCGAGGAATCGATGACGGTGTCCCGGTTGATGCCGGCTCGCACCACCGGCAGCGACAGGAGCGCCACCGCCGCCACCCACGCGACAACGAGCGCGAGTAGGCGCGGGGGAGTACCGCACGGTGCCATAACAGAGTGAGAGTGCCGCGCGGGGGAGTACCGTCCGATGAATTACGGAATATGAGTCGCGAAGAAATGGCTTGTGGTGTGCTTTTTGAGTCGACTCAAAAGTCACCTCGAGGAAATGGCTTGCGGTGTGCTATAGAAGTCTGTGTATACATATGAGAGAGCCCGGTGCTATGGTTATATGTTATCGGCTGATGTGAGAGCCTGTGATCTTCAGGGTAGCGAATTCAGAGATGACTAACGCACTAACTCGAGACGGATACAATCACGAAGGCAACGACTGGCTACGTCGATTTGGAAGCATTGCGAGGTGATGATGAACTGTCACGTACTGCAGCCCTTCGACTGAGTCGGGATGATGATGAACTGAATCCCCCTCACAGGAACCACCTTGGAACGGGCGAGCGTTTAAAACGAACGAGCGAATGACGAACACCGATCGAAGCTTATTTGAGCAGACTAATTATGCGATGAGGACCGCTTGACGCGTATGAGCTAGTTGCTAGGCTCGATGCACCGGCAGTAGATCGGAGTTTTGTAAAGTCTCGCGTGCATTAGCTATTAGGCGAAAGATCGGAATGTCTAACTTGCAAGGCTGCGTACTCCACTGTCGTTGCGGACTTGTTAAACTCTACTGACATGCTCCGGGAAGCGTATTGAGGATGCTCGACAGAGAACAGACGGATAATATATATCTGCCCACAAGGCGACTTTGCATGTCGATCGAGGGAATGAACCTAACCAGGCTAGCTCAAGAAGGCCACAATCGTAGTGGCGGCTACGATGAAGCACTGCTGGAGCGGTCCGTGCGTCGTCAACGGTGGACGTTGCGGCGAGTGAGGAAAGAGAACGGCGCAAGCTTTTCCTATAAGCTAACACTCGTGCGAAGCATCGGCAAGGCTACGATGACTGCGTTGGGATGAGAAACGCCCTGGTAACTCATCGATGCTACTCAAGCTTGTGCTTGTTCCAGCAAGACAGGCGCACTCATTCTAAACCAATGACCAATGCAGCAAGTAACACATCACCCTCCTTCCCAGCAAGAAACTCCCAGCTTTTGTGACTGCACTGGTGCTGCTGCTGCTGGGAAGTGGAGGAGAGCTATGCTGCGTTGGTCAATCAACATTTTTCTCCCGCCACGGGGTTGTGCGAGTCGCCATGTGAAATTGAATGTGAGCGCGGTGAACGGGTCGTGTCGGTTTTGCCGCCAAGTCTGCCTCTTGGGCCACCCAGCACAACATGACGCCAAGTGGGGGGGAGACTCGGGATTCGGGTCGGATCGGGACGATGCGGAGGGGGAATTTCCCCAAGCCGGGAATGCCGCCGGCGCAGCCGGTATTGACGAATGCAATTCCGCACTTCAATTGGGGAAGGGCCATATGCGTACATTCAATTTGGAAAAACACAATATATTATAATTAGTCCTGATCCTGCTCACCTCCCAGCTACTACATTCTCATCAAAATCATTATCTACATGAATCAGATTCGGCCTTCTTATGCCTCCATCCTTGGTCCTAACGGCCCCTAGGTGTTGAAACAAGGAAGGCACATGAACATACCCCTTGACGCCTGATTCATTCAGGTACTTACCCAGCAGGAGATCCATGTTTGTCTCCATAAAGTGCTCCTCCATATACTGCAGTACACCTTCCAACGCAGTCACGTTGAACAGGAGTGCCTGGGCGCAGCATGGCACGGAATACTCATCCCCATGCTGGTGTCCCCAGTTGTATGACTGGGGGTTGTATAGCGATACAACTCCCCAGCTCTTATGCGCCAGATCCTCTCTCACAAACCTCTCAATCCCAACGTCATACAGCTTGGCAGGCAGAGTATCATCCTGCAGCAGCAGCACGTACTTGGGTCGAGTGGCAAGGCATTGTCTCGCCACATAAACAAAGTCCATGACAAGTTTCGTGCGCCATTTCCAGCTCTCCCACCCGTCCTTCCCCACCATCTTATCCTCAACTCCACTGCGCCTCAGGTCCGCCTCCTCCTGCCCTATGAACCGGCACACGTCCTCATGCGCTCTCAGCACATCCACACGCAACGACAATCCCTCTGCCGCCCGCTCTACTTCTCGCGTGTAAAGCCCAACCATCTCATTTGCCCTTTTTGTATCCTCAACAACAAAATCCGCCTCCATATCTTCCACGCTCTTGGCCGCTCCGATCCGCCTGAGCCTACCCATGCGCTGCCGTCTGTTGTTGCGCCGCAAGGGCAGCAGGAACCGACGCCTTGCAGGCAGCGCTGTACACAACCGCGTGCATTTTCCCCAGGCCGCTGCGCTGCTTCCTCCCATGCACGGAACTCCGCCGGGAGTGGCGCTCGTCCAGCAGTTTCAGCAGCGCCACGGGGAAGTGCCACGGCGGGAGCTCCTGGTGGGGGAAGGCGCGCGGGGAAGAAGGAATCGCCACGCAAATACCGTCGCCGTCGCCGCCGCTCTGCGGATCTGTGATGACATCCGAGTCGCCATCGCCACTCAATGACGCAGGTGCATTTGCCCCCGCATTGTCGGGAATGCTCTCGCTGCCTGCCTCTCCGCGGTTCCAGCGAAGCCACGATCTCACGAGGGACAAGGGATGCGCCGCAGGGCGGGAATTCGCTCCGTTCCCCACCCGCGGAACGAAGAAATCGGCGCTGACGTGTCTCTTGAGATGCGACAGCGGTAGACCCGGCGTTAGTAGGCTTTCTGGCGAAGCTCTCGCCGCGAACCACGGTCGGCGCATGAAGAGGCTAAGCGGGCCTCCGAGGCCAACTTCGAATGCCTTGAAGCGCGCCGAGGGGATCGACTCGCGCGGCGCGACGGTCACCGACGGCAGCGACGGTAAGGGCCAGGCGCGAGCGAGCCACAAGGCGGGGAGCATGAGGAGGAAGAGCGCGAGGGAGAGCAGAAGCAGGGATACCACGACCACGCGTCGCCAATGCAGCTTGCAACACGGAGAGTGCGGCGCGTGGCGCGCCGGCCGCCTGCATGGCGCCGCCGTTCCTGTCGCTTCGAGCGAGCTGTCCGCGCCGGCTTCCACGGCGGACGGCCGACGCGGAGGAGGATGCGGCGTCGCGTGGTGCGGCTTGGCGCGCGGCTGCGGGGAGGAGGAGAGCGTGGGCGTGAGCGCGACGGCGTCGCGCGGAAGTCGCGGAGAGGCGCGACGGCAGGTGGAGCTCGAACCGGCGGCGGGATTGCTCTCGGCGGGAGTTCGAACGGGAGTCCTGGCGGAACGGTGGAGGGAAACGAAGGATGTACCCGGTGGGGGGTCTGGAAGGGGTATGGCGAGTAGCTTGGTCCCCCGCCGCGACGCGATGGGCCTTTTCCTGTCCATGTCTGATATGCTACTATCGATCGGATCTTGGGAACATTGAGGAGGCGGTGAATCAGCCATACCAGGGACGAAAATGCAAAAACGAGCTTCGTGCAGGCACTGAACTACTACTACTGAGCTGCGGTGCTAGTATGGAGTGCATGCTGTCTCTTTCTATGAGCAATGGGCATGCGGACGAGATCGTAAGACAATGGATCTCTTCGTAGCCACAAGGGGCCATTCGACAAAGGGGACAACGGATCAGGCTTGGGTTCTATCGACCTGAGGTTCCGGCGGAATACTGCAGCTGATGGGAGGACCTGCGGTTGGCAAGAAAGGGTGGAGCAGAGGGACCTGTTCGTCTGGCCTGAGATGGTGTGACGCGAGGGAGCTATGGAAGAAGAGAAAGGCGACAGTTGGTACGAGCTGCTCTTCCTGGGCCCTTGCTGGAGGGGCGCTTGCTTGTTGTCTGGGGCGTCGGCGGTGAGGTGTCTTGTGTCTTGTCGGCCCCCACTCTGTTCCTTCCGACGACCAATCTGGCGAGGCGAGTCAAGCGAGTGTCGCATGCGGCACAACCAACCTGCCAGCGAAGCTTGAGATCTGCTGAAGCGGTATGAACGAAATTTTTGTAAGCGAAGGCGAAACCCTATAGTAACAGCTTCAACACTTCCAAAGCAGCACCAGACCAACCAAAGCAACTGCATGGGGGAACAAAATCATGTCATCATGACATGGGCAAACAGCCTGACGTGGTGGTCTGTCGCATCCCACCCTCCAAAACATGCAGGCCTTGAAAATCTCACCAAATTCTCGCTAGCTTTCGCTCACCTCGCCCACGCCAAGAACTCCCTGGCGATAGCTTCACGAACTTGTTCAATGGATTCACGGGGTATGCTGGCCGGACGACAGCTTTAGGCTCAAGATGTGGAACACGATAAACGCCGCACATGGGGGACATTGGCAGCTTGGCATTTGCCAGCTGGATTTCAGCTGGGCCAGAGTGAGCAGAACACTGCCGAGCCGAGATCACAAGCCATCGGGGAAACGATGTCAGGTGCGGTGAGGATGGTGAGCAGAAATAGCACAATGTAATAATGTGCTATTTGTTTCTAATACAACATATGGCTTCATCTTATCAAGCTTAGAGACCTCAAAATTGAAAATTAAAGACAAATTAGAGGTTTCGAGAAGAATGTTAAAAAAAACAGTGCTGATTTTTGCTGTGAAATCTCACTAGAGTGTATTGTCAGATATTCAATATTAAGTGTTCGCTTGGAGTGATAAAAAATGAACAAACATGCTTTTTTATTTATTTGAATCGTGGTCACATTTGGAGACGATTAAACCATTTTTAGAGAGCTAAAGATTGATAAAAATTAATAGATTGGTTGTTCCTAGTGTGCGTTTCATTTTTTTGAGGTGTGCTGTGGGGTACACAGAAGGGATTTGACGACAAGCTCAACTGCTTCGATATTACCCGATACAGTGGACGTTGCACCCCGCTTCACGCAGTAGATTGCGCTTCGCCCCACGCGCCATTCGGGGTGACACTTTGCGGCGCTGTGCATCCCGCTCCGCGATGCACAGTGCGCTTCGCCCTGCGCGCCGTGCCAACCAAACCAGCTTGACATATTCCGCGTGGATATCATGGAATGGAAGCATACACCCTAGTACCCTACGATGGTATGATGCTTCATTAGTGGTCGAAATTTCATCACCAATCAGCTCGTGAAGAATTGTTTTGCTATTGCGAAACAGTGAAACCAGCAAAACTCCGAGCTTCGTGAAATTCGCCGAACACCAAACTCCAAGGTCAGCCATCTCGGCTCGGCATCACCCCATCCCATCCTGAAACCCTAGCTCCCACCCCATTGTCCTTACACAGCTGCTCCCGCCCCCCAGATCCAAATCTCGCTAACACTTGCTCTGCCTCAGCCGCTCCCTCCCAAACATTTCACTGACTTCCAAGGTTCACCGCGGATCTCTAATATCCACCCAAGTTCCCGAGCAGCCGTTTGTTTACCGCCACCAACGGTCGCGGCTCGAAACCGTGTACATTCCGTGTGGAAATTGCTCATCGCCTATGCTTCGCGGCTCGAAACCGTGTGGGTTCCGTGTGGAAATTGCTCATCGCCTCTGCTTCCGCCCTCTCAATCCATATTTAGACAAGCAGGTCATCCTCTTTCCTGTACTCCGATCTAGCAATCTAGCTTCTGCCACGGCTTTCTCCGTTATGCCCTTCAATCTCCGTGTAACTCGCCTTTTGGTGAGGAGCTTCAATCGGTTCAAGCTGCAACCTGCTCGAGCATGGAGGTCTCAAGTGCATGGGATTTCGCCAGCTCGAGCTTTTCACCAGCCCGCCGTTGACCTTTCCAGCTAAGTGTTCCTTCCACTACTGTCGAAGTTTTCCTTTCTATTTCCGGCTTTTTGTTCTTGCTGTTTATTTTGTTTTCCAGCCAAAGCGCCGCCTGTAGAGCTCCCTGTCTCCTACCCTAGGTCTGGTTTAGCCTCTTTAGTCGGTCTAGCGTCGGCGTCGCTAAGTCGAGCATAGCTGCCTCGGTCTGTCAGAGCTTTGCAGTGCGGTTGCTTTGGCTGGAAAACATTCCCCATTTCCCCACACACGACTTCACCGCTTTTGTCGTCTTTATGGCATCCCACTGTCACTCGGAACTGACTTTGTTGTTTTTTCTTCTAATGCATTCAGGTGTTTCTTCAATTATCTGGGAGCAGCCAAGGCATGAAGGATCGAAGATCAAGAGGATCAGCACTACAAGGCAGCCCTCCTCGAGCCAAGAGTTCCAAGTCAACTTCCAAGCCGAGATTCGAATCAATTCTCAAAACATGCAACCCCACGTGCAGATAAGTACCGCTTCCCTCCTTTCTCCGCTCAATATCATTTCCGTCCATCATAGTCATGACATTTGTTTCATGCTTGAGCGGCGCTTACCACAATGCTGCATGTTCCATTCCCCCTGGTATACTTTTTTTCAAGGTAACCCTTTTCTGGTGAGTCCCTAGGTTCTCTTCTGGTATTTTTCTGGTACTTGGCTCCTGTGGTTGTTGTGATAAGCGCTCTTGCTGTGTGCTGCATATTCATTCATGTGACTCATCATGCACATGCATGCTTGCCTCTCTTGTTGGACCTGCCAGTGCTGCTTGTACTTACTACTGCCCCTTCTCCCTCTTTTGACTGGCAGAGGTCGTCCGCCAATTCCTCCAACCGCGTTGAAGCAGCCAAGGTGCTCAACAGTCAACATTCAAGTTGTGGAGCCAAACCTGCACAACGTCAACAGTTCAAGAAGAAGCTAAGTATCACGCGCCCTTGTCTTCTCTTTGATTGCTTCCTGTTGGTCATGTTTCTGCTCTTTCAGCCATCATCATTACGTTTTCGCCTTCCATTGCATAATATGTATGCTTGAGCGCTTAACACTACCACCACTTGAGCCTTCCCTGGTATTTTTTTTAAAGGTACTCTTTTCTGGTGAGTCCTTCAGGTCCCTTAAGGTTTTTTTCTGGTATATGGCTCTTGTGGCTGTGGCGTGAGCACCCTTGCATCCATGCTACTGCATCCTCCACCCATCATGCATGCATACGCTTGCCTTTCTGGACCTTCTGCCACCATTACTCATACAACCCCCTCCCTTTCCTTCTCTCGCTTTGCAGGTACATCATTACTGAATGCCTTCAAAGTTTAAAGACGTTTGGAAGTCAATCATTTTAACCCCCAAGACTGAAGGTTCTCAAGGTAAGGTCTAGTCCTTTTGACAGTTTTCTTGTGTGGCACACTTACTAACATTCAGCTTTTCTTCCTGCAGGAGCTTCAACATGTCAACGTTGACTTTCCAATGAAGATGACCAAGAGTCTTCATTCTGAAGTTTCAAGATTCAAGCTTTTCTTATAAGGTAAATTAATCTTTTGGTAGTTTTACTTTGTGGCACACACACTAACATTTCGTTTTTCTTCTTGTAGGAGTTTCAACATGCCAACGGACGCTTCCTCTGAAGGTGGCCAAGAGTCTATGGAGTCCCAAGTATCAAGCTTTCATTGGATTATCTTCAAGTTGAGCCTTCAAGGTGAGTTTCAATTTCCAGCATCAGTTCTTGTGGTGTACATTCACTAACAGTTCTCTCTTATCCTGCAGGTGGTACAACATGGAAGATGTTCAAATGACAGCCATCATTGAAGATGCTGAACTCAGCAATCAAGATCTTCAATTGACAGCCATCACTGAAGATGCTGAACTCAGCAATGAGGTATGTCTTTATCATTATAGCAGTTCAATTCAATGCTTACTGCATTCCTTCTCACTCTGGCTGAGGACTGATAAATCTCTTTTGTCATTGTGCAGCTAACCTGAAGGCATGGGGAGGCAAAGCATGGTGCTGAGGGTCCCTTGGGGTTGTCTAAAGACTTGGATCCGGGCCATATACCAGACTGATTTTGTCGGTACAGAGCTGACTGCAGCAGCTCTGTATCGGCAGATTCAGTCTGTGAAAATGGGCTCCCGCATGCCTTGGGTTTAGCGACTCTGAGGGTGCCTTCAGCAGTCTATTGCCATGCCTCCTGCAGCCACTCTTTCCAGGCCAAGACAGTGTTGTTGGAAACAGTAAATCCTAAAGCGCCTCTGTCGTGTCGAAACATCACACCAGAAGCGAAGCGAACCATATCGAGGCACACGCGAGTCAACCCTCGGAGGTTGAAAGAGGTTGCCGGAGGTTACGCGAAAGTCAAAGGTCAGCGACCTTTGACCTGACAAGTACAGCGCGACAGCAAGGACACACAACTGACTCGCTACAGAGCAGTTGCCCGAGTCGTCACTGTATCGAACCGCAACAGCAACAGTAAAGTAGTTACAACTGTATCCTTGTACTCATATATAAATGCTTGTATCTCTTTGCTTTAATCAATCAACTTTGCCCTCACATACCAGCGCAAGGTGGTTCACAAGCTTTCATTAAACGTTTTCGCTATTACAATTGTTCTACCCGAATTCACCCTTGCAAAAGATCGTAGGGGTGCCTCAGCCCAACATGGTATGAGAGCTATCAGGGGAAATTCAACTACTGTCAAATCATCAACA